TTTTTTAATGAGGTCGTTTTTTTTGTGGAATATCACAAATTATTATTCAAAGCAAAATGTTTTTATATATATTATTTTGTGATGCCACTTATGTACATTTAGTCTTCCTAATTCAAGTAAAAAAGTCTACATCTAGCCTCACACAAAAAAACAAGAACTACTACTGCAGTTTGACCACATAGCACAACATAAATCTGAGATTCATTCCTATAATGAAACACTGCAGGAAGTAATCCTGGAGCAGGAGCGAGCCTGGATATTTGAACTAAAATTGCCCCAGCCTCTCATGTCTACAAAAAAAATACAAAGGAAATAATAATTTCACTTTGAGGCATTTGCTCTATCACATAACTTTCACAAAGATGTGAATTCGTTCAAGAAGGGCACTGAATTCCACTCTTATGTGTAATATCCTGGATATTTCCGAATATCACACCATGCATTACGCTGTCTGTTGCAATAGGCTGTATGGGCTTCAAACTGCTACGACTTCACTACGTCTGTGCACAGCTGTGGAAGCACTTTGTGCAATCCATAAAGGACAAACAGAGAAAAGTAAAAACAGGTGCTTTTGTTTCCTTCTTCTTTATATCCGCAGTCCGCTTGTGTGGCTAACCGAGGAGTTTGAACAACTGAGTTATTGGAGGACACAGACAAACAGACTCATCTAAATTCCACTTCTCTTTAGAGTTGCTAGGAGAGGCCCCCCTCTCCAAAACACGCACACACAGACACACTCGCTCCATGCTCAAGTCCACTCGCTGACCTCTCAGGCCAGACACTCTCTTGCCAAACCCCCAAACTCTCCCCCTAAAAAAAAAATAAATAACCCTCAACCCCTCCTTGAACCTACACCTCCCCCTTCTCACCCTGAACGCCTCTCCTTCCCACACTCAAGTTCCTGTCAAGGCCCTGACAGACAGACAGACAAGTAGGGTGACATCATGGTGCAGAGAGAGACAGAGGAAGGGGGCTGCCTGCCTGTCTGCCCCCCAGCACCCACACAATACAGCAGGGCATCTGGCACTGGGGTGGTGTTGGGGTGGGGGTCTGTCAGGACAAAGCGTTTACATCCCCCTCCCCGGAATATGATTATAGTTTGTAAATGGCGGCTGAGACGTAAATGTGTGAGGAGAAGAAAGAGGCTTAGATGCGGCGGCGGGAGCGTGGGTGGATAATACAGTTATGGGTGTATACAGTGAAGACACCAACAGATATATTAGTCCAAGCACATGAAAGATGGTTTTGGGATTTTGCACATGTCGTCATGGGAAATCTGTACCGGCATTCAGTGGAAGACACTTTTGAAAAGCTGCCAAATCCTCATGTACGTATTTATTTTTCATGCTGTTTTTGTTGAATTTCTCTTCCCAAAAACTGCAAAGTGACGCTGTTCTGAAACGAGCAGGTTTAGTGGTGATCTGCGTGTGTGTGTGTCACTTGCTGCTTGTTAATTTGCAGGATCCAAGATGAAACAATGGTGCCAACGGGATAGAAATTAGTGTCATAATACTCTCTCTCACTCTCTGCAGCCCCCCCCCCCAACTCTGTCTCCGTCTGAGAGGCTGTCTACTCGCTGTGTGCATACAAGTGTCTGTGTGCATACATAAAATAAATGAGCTGTGTGCATGCATTGTGCGAGTCCACAGGCCCAGTGTATATATTAGAAATGTGACTTGACCCTGGCAGGCTGAAGCAGGGTTTCTGCGTCGCACTGGGCGTGGGAAAAAGGGGAGACCTCTTTTCACAGCTGCTCCGGCCGTTGCATTGAACCAATGGAGGCCCCCGCCGCCCCTAACCTGCCTCCGCCACTAATGCCCCCCCCCCCCCCCCCCCTTTTAACTCCCCCCTTTCCCATTCACTCTGCAGCCTGCTGCCTTTCAGGGGACCCCCGTACCCACCCCCTCCTCCTCCGGAGCTCTGCTCGTCACCCTGCTGCACCCCACCATCACAGCCACCACCAACCTTTAATACAGCCACCTCGCCATTCAGCCAGTGTGCATTGAGATGCCACGGACCTCTGAGCTTTGAGGAGGCGAAGAAAAACAAACGCAGCTAAGTGATTAATGGAATAAAGAAACTTAGACCAAACTAATTTGTTTACGTATGTTTGTAAAGACACACCAAAACTAAACATCAGACCTCCTGTCTCATTGTTTTTACTTTTACCTCGTGAGTTCCTTCTACTTTTTTTAACTCTCTTTTTTGTTCTTCAAATCCAATTCCATTTTCCTCACTCGCACACTCTCTTCTCTACTTCCTTCTCCGAGCCGCGCTGCAGATAGACTTTAATTTATGTTAACATACGCCACCACTCTACACTCAGTGCCTAACCCCCCCACACACCCACACACCCACACATTCCCCACCTCCCTCCATCCAGTGTATTCATTTGCAGAGATTTATTTCCTATCAAGCAGCATAATGCAGAGGGTATAATTCAAATCAACTTTTAAGAACACCCAAGCGGCGCAGTTTATGTATACAAATCTAAAAAGCC